GGAGGGGGGAGGGGGAATCCTAATGATTGGTGAAAACAAGGAGGAAGATTTATCAGTAGTATATACATCACTAATGACATTTCTTCCTAGATGCTGGTGTAAGCCCTGAGTGTAAAAGGACAGTGGCTTAGTTAGAATTTGGCTGTTTTCCCTCCTCTTTCAGGACCTACCAGTGTGGAGTGTCATTAGTAGTTGCAATTTCTTCAAGAAGCCAATGAGCAACAGCCTATTTTAAACCCAGAAAAGAAAAAGAAAGAAAGAAAGAAAGAAAAAGCAAGGCCTAAAGCAGGGGCTTGAAAGTAAAACCAGAGGCCGAAGAGCCAAGAGGAGTTTAAGGAGCATAAAAAGAATAATAGTAGGTACAGCGAACAGGCAGGTCTGTTCCTCATGGGTGAGTATATCCTCCTCCCTGTTTGGTGGTATTGGAGCGGGTCACCTAAGGGCCAGGTACTGCCCCTGCCCCAATCAAGCCTCCATACATGGGGCGGGCCTGGGTGTCCCGGGGTCTACCTGGTAGAAAGTCTTTATATATCTGTTCAGGCAAAAGCCACACAGGAAAAGATAGTGGAGCCTGGACCCTCAACGACATCAACACACTGTTTCCACCTTTGTCTGCCCACCTCCAGACTTCTAATCCTATAGGAAAAATAGCCCCTATTTTGTTTTTCCATTATTTTTGGTCAAACACATTCCTAACCTACAAGATTTTAGCCTAAGCAAGAAGTTAGTCCTAAGCAAGGGGAAGAAAACTGGCAGCCCTACTGCCTCCTCCACTTCTAGTGCTTGAAGCTAGTAAAGATCTGACCTACACTATTTTCTGATATACCAGGAGTCCTAAAGTTTTCCTGGACTAAGAACACTTCAGGGACTAGCTGGCTGATAAAATGATAGTAACACTGGGCAATATAGGACAGTAAAAGATAAAATGTTGTAATATCAATTAAACCTAAGGAATCACTGGGTATTTCTCATATGGATTCCTACCTGGCTTCATGCATATTCCTTGAATAGACAGGATATGTCTCATAAATTCTATCTTTAGGATCTCCAAAAAATAGAAATAAAAATGAGGTCATGGAGGCAGAAAAGAGACTGAGTCAGAGTTTGGGAGGGCACATGCAAGACCTCCAGGGGTTAGGTAGACAGCAGGCAATCTGTGAATTAGGAAGGACAATTTGTCCCCCGTGGGTGGCAAAGCCATGAATGCTCAGGACCTAGCAAACATCTAAAGCCTTCGGCACTTCTTCAGTAGGCTTTTCATCAGTTCTTACTGATCCTCAACACTTTCCTTGCTTTTTCCTCTCTGGTCCCAGATTTTACCTGTGCACTTTTGTGGATTATTAAGGCCGTTCCACAATTGCCTTAAATTCTAATCTGTCTGAGCTGCAAAACACAGAAAGTATGATTCTGTCAAAGGAATTTGAAGCCTGCATTAGATCTGTGTCAAGATATCAATGTAGGGCTTGGCTCAGTGGTTGACACTCAACCTAGGAGCCAGGAGGTCACAGTTTGATTCCCGGTCAGGGCACATGCTCAGGTTTTGGCTCGATCCCCCGTAGGGGGCATGCAGGAGGCAGCCGATCAATGACTCTCTCATCATTGATGTTTCTCTCTCTCCCTTCTTCTCTCTGAAATCAATGAAAACATATTTTTTTTTAAAAAAAGATATCAATGTAGGGAGTGAGAGCAAAGATTCTTCCAGCATCTTGAACCACATACATATGATCAGAGTGATCAATTTATTCCTTTAAATTTGTTCCTATCTCTCCCACTACTTTTAATAAAAATTGTGATGTCAAAATATTTGCTGTGCAGACTGTTTTATCTTGAGTCAAGAACCTATTTTAGAAAGACTCAAATATTTTATATCATTAGTTTAATCTATTTTTTATAGCTACACAGAATGACAAAATATTACTTCCCTCAAATTACATAGGAAAAATGGAGACCTTAAGAATACTCCCTTCTCATGATAACTTACCATCATTTGTTTTACATATTATTAACTTTCTCTGTATGGTCTTTGGACTTTTATGGGCACTTCCTTATTAAAGAATCAGAAATGGAGAGTTTCCTTCTCTTTGTAGGGGTGTAACAATACGAAAGTATAAAGGTTCATAAAAATAAAACCTAAAAAAAACCCTCAATTGAAGAAAAATGAAGATATTTAAGAAAGATAAGTCATTACTCAGTAAATACTTGACTAACTTCATGAAACGAGAAACAAAGAGTTATGGGTGCTTTAGAGCCTGAGTTTAACTGGCTCCTTGTATAAAAGCAAGGTCAAGGGCTGTGTCTAAATCACACACCTTTGGGGGAAGGGGCCTAGATTTGCCCCCGAGTGTTTGGTTTTCTGTTCTGTTTCCCTCTGCCATGATATGTAGCAAGATCATCAGACCTGCAGTATTCCCATGGGTCAACCCTGGACTCTTTCAGCTCTAGAAATCTAGGTAAGTTTTCCAGCGAGGTTTCCACCCTTTCTCTCCCACATGGCCTTATCTGTTTCGAGTACCTGGTTCAACTAATAAGTATTCGGAAATTCTATCTTCAAAGATAAACTTTTCTGGCTTGATGTGGGTAATGCCCAGCTTGGATAACTTTCTGGGACGCGAGGTCTTCTTCCATGCGGTGGCCGAATACGTGGTGCCGTCGAGGAGGATGTCGTAAGGGAAAGTGTGCGAGGGAGGGGGGATCCCATAGCGAGCGAGCCTCTGCTGGGATTTCCAGAGCTTGTCTATCTGAGAGAGGGAGCCGGTCAGTAGGCTGCGGTGCAGGAGTTCGGTCATCGATACTGGCTTCTCTTCGTCTTTTCTAACCACCTTCCACGTGAAAACAGGTTGGGGAGCGTCTCTCAAATCACTTCTGCTGGTGAATGACACGGTTTTCAGGTTGTCATCAAGTATTTTCTGGGATTCACCTGGTGAAATACCAAGAACTTTCAGGCGATTCAATTTCTTGCTTTCCTTATTAAAATTCTCAGCAAGTGCATATAATTCTGGCATCTGTGGGGGAAAAGTCGGAAATCATGAGACTGATGAGTGGTCATTGTCTGGCAGATCCGCAAACCCTAAAACAAATAGCATAGCAAGTAGCCATACAAACAGAAGCATCTATCTTTGGAAGGTATTGTTGCCTAACAAGTCAATTGTGGCAATGCAGAACAGAGACCAGATGGACAAGTCTCAAATTCATTCCCCAAAAGAGGTATTATTTCGACACATCACTGAAAGCCTGCATTATAAAATGAGCCCGTTAGACTTTGACTCCATAGTCTTTAAGCTCTTTCCAACTCTAAAATTCTGTGAGTTACCATGGAGAGAGACAGCTTTGGGGGTTGGCAACGTTTGTTTTGGGTAAGGCTACATTTCTTTTAAGGAAGAGGGGGAACCAGATCATCTAGATAGCAAGGCTTCATCCTGGGGTCCAAAGGGCTTGGTGTGTTTAGGAATACAGAGCAGAGGAAGCTGTCTTTGTCCTGATTAACTGGAATATTTTACCAAAGCAAATGGTCACATTTGTGGAGTGTTTGGGAATAGTTGTTGGCAGAAAGGACAATAAATGTTCCCTCAGAGTCCCCCTTCTCTATCTAAAATCCTGGATTAAAGGAATATAATTTTATTTTCTAGAGCATTCTCCCTACTACTCCCATTATTCCTAAGAGGTTTCTCAAGTCATTAAATTGGAAGGCCAAAGAGGCCAAAGTGAGAGCTCACACTTGGGTCATTTAGCCCAGTGCAGTTCCCCCTCCATTCTAGTCAAGAGCGGCAAAGAGGGAGTGGGCTGAGCTGGTAATCTTAGCTCTTGCAAACGCATTACCATTATCAGGAAGACAAGTCGGCGCTCAGGCTCCCTGCCCACAGGAGCGCTGCATCTTGCTGTGCCAAGGAAGGGCAGGTCCCTGACGTGAGATGTTTGTGTTCCCTATGCCCCACCGCCAGGCGTGCCACTGGGTACTCCATGGTTTGAATTTTTAGAATTCTCCAATATTGCAGAATTGTAAGGACATACCGAACACCTGGGAAAATTGGTCTCATCGTCATCTTTACTTGGATCAGCGTCTCTGTTGAGGAACATTGTGCTGAGCTGTTTTCTTTAATTCCTAAAAAATCAATATAGGGGAAGGTGAAATGAAAGATCAAAAGTCAGATAAAATACATGGGGGGGGTAACACTTTTTAAAACTTCTGAACTTTGTTGTTGTTGTTGTTGTTTTTAATATATCTTTATTGATTTCAGAGAGAGGAAAGGAGAGGGGGAGAGAGAGAAGCATCAGTGATGAGAGGGTCACTGATTGGCTGCCTCCTGCACGCCCCCGACTGGGGATCGAGACCGCAACCGGAGCATGTGACACTCTGATCATTGATGTTTCTATCTCTCTCTCCCTCTCCCTTCCTCTCTCTGAAATCAATGAAAAAATATATATGTTAAATAAATACATAAATAAATTAATTAATTAATTAATTAATTAATTAATTAATTAATTAATTAAAAGCTTTGCAGCACCTTGGCTGGGCAGCTCAGTTGGTCAGAACATCATCCAAGATGCCAAAATTGCAGGTTTGATCCCAGGTCAGGGCACATACAAGAATCAGTCAATGAAAGCATACATAAGTGGAACAACAAACCGATGCTTTACTTCACACACTGGGAAGCCTTCTGGGGAGACCATGTGGAGCTGAAAGCCAGCACCAACCACTAGACATGTCAATGAGGCCATCTTGAGTCACCCAGCTCCATCTGAGCCTCCAGGTGATTGCAAATAGAGAAAAAGAACCATCCAGCTAACTCCTGCTGAACTACTACCGAGCAGGCTTCAGAATGCTAATGCCGATCAGCAGCCAAAGATGCTTTTATCCACTTGAATGCCAATGTCACTAACATCTTTTCACTTTTGTCCCTTCGCTTGAGCCAAGCCAATGCCTAACCCCTAGATTAGCCCTTCAGTCCAACCTCTCATGGAGGAGTGTTCCTGAAGAAGTCATGAAAATACAGCCAATGAGCCTGTTTCGGATTCATGCGACCAGAGCTCTTCATCACTTCTACTCATCTTTTGTTACTCCCACAGATTCCCACAGTAAATTCTGATTTTACTGAGAAGACCAAGGGCATCTCGCAGGGACTCCTTGGGTGGTCTCCTCTCCTCCATCCATCTGCACCCAGCTTCTCTCTGCTCATCTAATGGTAACCCTCTCTCTCCCATCCAGGATAGTATATTTTATCTTCATAATCCTTATGGAATATTTCCCCCTCCTCCTTTCCCTTCACTGGGGATACAGCTTCTCTTCCTCCATCACTCTCTGATCTTCCATATCATGTTCCCCAATGGCAACGTCCTTTCTCCACAAACATCTCTTCTGCTGGGAGGGAAAATGCAATTCCTCTTGACTCTGGTCTTACCAGGAACGCTCCGCCTTCATCCTTCCTCTACCTCTGTACTTGCTATTTTTACATCCTCATGATCGAAGCCTCAGTATGAACCGCAATTGAAGTCGTGAAGGCAACAGTGAGTTCTTGATCGTCAGGTCTGACGGAGCTGTCACAGTCTTCATTCTTCTCCATCTTCACTCTTAACCATCCTTTCACTTTGAAATTGATTTTTAAAAGCACCTTCTCTATTCTTTCCAAACTCTTTGCAATGATTCTGATAAGAAGCCTAACTGACTTCATTTGGACTGTTACAATGACCTCCTCCTGGTTTCCTTGCCCTTATGTTGCTGTTATTATTGTTATTATTAGTAGTAATCTATCCTAAATCACCCAAATCACCAGTCTTCGAACTTGGCTCTGTATTCCTTCTAGGATAAGATGTAAACTTCTTGACCAGACTTACAAAGACTATCCACAATCTGCTTCTAAACATTCCAAACATTTAAAAATCATATCTCTATGTCACCACAAGGTCATCGATGTTCTCTCTACTGAAGCAAGCTGGGGCAATTCATTTTTTCCTGAAACAATCTTCCATGCTTTCATGCATTCTTGCTCTTGCCTGTGCTCACTCTGACTCCCCACTTAATCAAGCGGAATGTTTATTTAATGCCCCTCCTTTTATGTCAATCTAAATAAGAACATAATAGAACTGAAGATAAAATTGAAAGAAGCATAATGTTGATTAGCTATTGTGACAAACAAAAGCAAAATTTGGAACAGGAAATAGAAATAAAGAAAAAGTTAAAAATTATTTAGAGAGGATCCAGTTATGGTCAGCTGATTTTTACAAGGTGCCTAAGAGAAATCAGTGGGAAAAAGAATCATCATTTAAATAAATGGTGTTGGGACAAATGGATATCCACTTGTAGAAGAGTGAAGTTGGACTCCTACCCTAATCTATACACAGATTAACTTAAAATGTGTCTTAGGCCTAAATATAAGAGCTAAAACTAAAAAACTCCTAGAAGAAAACATAAGAGTAAACTTTCATGACCTGGATTAGGCAAGGGTTTCTTCGCTACAATACCAAAAACACAAGCAAAAAGAATATAGATAAATTAGGCTTCATCCAAATAAAACTTCTGCACTTTAAAGTGTAAAGGACACTATGAAGAAAGTGAAAATGACAATGCACAGAATGGGAGAAAACACCTGCAGATCATGTATCTGAGAAGGGATTTGCATTCAAAATGTACAAAGAATACTTACAATTCACCAATAAAAAAGACAAACTACTCAATTTAAAAATGGGCAAAGGATTTGAATAGAGGTTTCTCCAAAGAAGATATACAAATGGGCAATAAAACATGAAAACATGCTCAACATCAGTAGCTATCCGGAAAATGCAAATTTAAGCAACGGTGGGATACCATTTCACTCTCCCTAGGATGGCTATAATAAAGACAGATAATAATGATTATTGGTGAGGATTTAGAGAAATTGGTACCATCACACGTTGCTGGTGGGAATAAACTATGGTGAAGTGACTTTGAAAAACAGTTTGGCGATCCCTCAAAACGTTAAGCATAGAGCTGCTGTATCACCCAGGAGATTCAATCGTAGGTACATTTAAGACAAATCCTATGTCCTTGCAAAAACTTGTGCGGGAATGTTCATGGCAGCACCATTCATAATAGCCAAGAAGTGGAAACAGCCCCAATGCCCGTCACCCGGTGAGTGGATAAACAAAATGCAGAATAGCCGTAGAATAGAATACTATTCAGTGATAAAAATAAGTATGCTGCGACATGATAAATCTTGAAAATTTATACTAAGTAAAAGAAGCCATCCACAAAAGACCATATATTGTGTGACTCCATTTATATGAAATGCATGGGGTCGGGAAATCTGTAGAGACAGAAAGTAGACTGGCGGTTGCCCGGGTCTGGGGGATACAGGAATGGGGAGTGGCTGCTAATCATATGGGGGTTTTTTGGGGAGTGATACAAATGTCCTAAAATTGATTGTGATGATGGTTACACAACTCTGAATATACTTAGAACTACTGAACTGAAGACTTTGAATGGGTGAATTTTATAGTATATAAATTATTTCTCAATAAAAATGCTTAACATCATTTAGAGAGAGAATGACAGACACAGAAGATGGGCTAAGGCGATACAACATATTTAATTGGATATCCCCAAAGGGGGCGAGGGGACAAATTCATGGAAAAGAAAAAAGATTTAAAATTAAAATTCAAGATTTTCCTGGAATTAAAGATTTTAATCTATATATTGAAAGATCACACCCTCCACGGTTTCAGTATTCAGCGGTCAACCATGGTCCAAAAATATTAAATGGAAAATTTTAGAAATGAATAATTCATGTGTTAAATTGCGTCCAGTTCTGAGGAGTGGGAGGAAATCTTGCGCTATCCTGGCTTGTCCCCGGGGCTGGCTCTGGGACAGGGGAGAGGAAGATCTCTCCCACTCGCGGATCTCCTCGCCCAGGCTCTGGTCTCTACCGAGGCGCTGTGCTCTCAAGGCTGGATGTGGGGATGGGACTCCAGGCATGGCGACAGCAGAGCCAAGCCAGGGCCATGTTTTGGTGGGAACGTGGCGCACAGAAATACAGGGAGGAGGCAGGGATGCCAGTGCAGGCCCCGAAGGAGGAGGGAGACGGTACAGGCTCAGTCATGACCGGCTGGGTCCAGCTTCCCTTCCCCGGAGCTGCTGGAAGGAAATGACTGTCTCCCAGCCACCATTTCATCTAGGCCCTGGCCTTTCCTGTCTCTTCCCCCACTGCCCACTTCCCCCCGCCTCTCCTTGCCAAGCCCCACTGGCTTCATTTTCACTTTTTTGGCTCTGATTATGCCCATTATCCACCCCTGCACTTACCCTTGCTCAACAACGGCCTGCTTATGGGCCCTCTCTTTCATGAACCTGTGTGCCTGGGGGCGGGGGCTGGGTCCCACTCATCCATAGCCCCATGGTCTAGGCAGGCACCTGACCTACGCTAATGCTTAGCAAGTGTTGAGTAAATGAGTACCTGTCCATTGTGACGTAAGGACATCCTCACATAAACAGCTGCGTGACACTAAGGGTCCGGGGATTACCTTCCTGCATGAGGGTAGTGGGTGGAGGGGGGGGGGCAGAAAGATATTTTTCTTAAAAGTGAACATTAAATAGCTGAATTGTGAATATAATTTCTAATCAGGTAGGTGTTTCCTTCTATAGATAGGAGAAATTGAGGCAGTAAAACAGGAGACAGACCTGTGGTTCCTGATGACCCTGCTGGGAGGGGACGGGGGCTGCATGGCCAAGCTGACGCTACAGGAGCCGAGCAGCCGTGCTCTGCGCTGTGTCCCACTCTTCAACGGCTTCCCCCTTGCGAGGATTTTGCGGCAACCATTAAAAACTGCCAAAACCATTTCCCCAGAATGGAGTCTATTGGTGTATTAGTCAAGGTGTATTTCTCCAGAGAAACAGAACCAGTAGGAGATATATAAATAATTCTAATTACATTAATTACATATTACATTGTAGTTCTTTTCAAACAAGTTACTGTGGTCATTTGAAAGAAATACAGCAAATTTCCCCCAGCTTTTAATAGGGGACTATAATTCCCTAAATGTGTGGAAACTCTCATTTCCATAAACTCTTGCTTTGATTGACAGTCAATCCATGGGTAAAATACGATGTATCTAAGCTGGATGCTGTATTGTACTCATACAATTTCCCCAAATTGTGAGATTGTTCTACAGAAGGGAAGCAGGCTCAGAGAATTTACCTAATCTGTGCCAGGTCATCCGGCTACAAAGTGACAGAAACCATGGTTCAAATACAGGTGTAGCTCCTTCGCAAACCTACGCCTGTGCACACCAGCCTCCCAGGAACCGCACCAGGCCAGCCACGTTTGTACCTAAGCAGGTTGACGCCATCTCTCCCGCCCAGGTCGTGTCTGCTCTGAGGTACACACAGGACACTGATGGTTAAAGAGCTCTGCAGGCTGGAGGGTCTTCACAGCTGTTAGATGGCATGGGAAGGGCCAGGTGGCCAGCCATCACAGGCTTTTGCATTTCCTGATGGCTGAGGCACCAAAACAAGACAAATAGGCTGTTTATTTTAAAGGTATTTCCTGCTGAGTGAAACCTAGGAAGTACTAGAAATCTTAGGAACATCTGATCTCGTAGGGATTTTTCCAACCCTACTCCACCCTTTCCATGTTGACAAAAAAAATCATTCTGTGGGTCCCAAAACAGAGGGCAGGGACAGGCTCTGTGGCAGTGCACCACAGCAGCACCCCACCCTGAAACGCCATGGGGTATTTAGCCCAGTGGCCCAAGCCATCCAGTTAACATCTTGATACGGAAGAGTGGGCTTTATGGTGACAATCCATCGGCTCTGCCTCTGCCTCTGCGTAAGCTTCCCTCCACAAAGCTGATGGTCTACATGTAGGCAGGGGCACTACAGTGACGTCTTGCAGGATGCCCGGGGTGTGGAGTGGAGCTTGGATGAACAGGACACAGGACGGAAAGAACACAATATGGCTGCTAATGTCCATAGGAATCATTCTGCCAAAATACTTAACGATGTGCCTGGTGTTAGGTGCGTAGCAAAGAAAATGATAAAGCTTGTCAAGAACCTTTCAATACTGAGACAAACCAAAACCAAAAAACCAGTACTGGTATTGCTAGTGTGGGAGCCAAGAGCCGCAAACTCAGCCCTTCCAGAGCTGGCCTGTTAATGGAGTCCCGCTGATCTCGCCTAAGCCTTCCTCACACCGGTCCCTCCCTCGGGTCCTACTTGGGTTTTGTCGCAGCTTCCTCCGGTCCATATCACGCGGCCTTCTCCGTGCTCCACAGAAGCCCGGCTGACACTTCCAAACGCACTTGTTCTGATGAGCACCTTGTTGAAACCGACGGGGGCTCCCAGCACCTGCACCACCTGGAGAAAGCCCATGTCCCAGGCCTGCCCCGTCCTCTGCCCTGCCTGCTGCTTTCCGTGCCTCATGCTCTTCCGAATGCTCAGCTGCCTACATGTTTTTAATTCTTTGGTTTTGTTCTTTATCTTCCCCAAATCTCCTGACTTGGCTCAGGTGCCATCACCTCCAAGATACCTCTTTAGAAGGGCACCCTCATCTTGGTCCTTTGTGACATACAATGTGGCCCAGCTACTAGGAGCATGGGGCTGGGGCCGAGGGCATGGGTTGTCACCTACCATGTGACCTTAGCCAACCACTTTGTCTCTCATCTATGAAAAAGACAGTAGCCAGACCTACTTCACTGGGTTGCTGTGAAGATTGTTAATTAGAGCAATTCTGGGCATGTAGCAAGTCTGCAATAAATGTTAGCTATCAGCAACACTTACCATGCTTTCTTTACTGCTGTCTGACTCATCTGTCAACTCTAAGATCTTTGAGGTCGGGGACTGACTGTCTCTGGTCATCTGTGAAACCTCAGGTTGAGTGGAGAGCGGATGCTCATGAATCTGCCCGAAGGGAACTGTTAAGGACCTTTTTGGAGAGGAGCGTAAAACTTGGATGACAGATTTGAAAAAGCATTCCAGGTAGGGATGACGACACGAGAATGTAAGAAAGAAACCTGTGTGGGGGGCTTGAGAAATGGTGAATGGATGATCCTTAAAGTGAGATGGGGAAAGACAGGGCCGAAGAACGGGAATGAGAGGACTCGAGCCAAGAGCGACTGGAAATGGCTGTGCCAAGGGCTGCATGGAGAATGCAGCAACTGAAACAACAGAGCCAGGTGGAGAAAATTCTGGCAGCAGGGAGACTAGTTAGAAAGGTACAGCAATTACTTATAAGTAGCTGTAACAGCTACTACTCCCAAACCCATCTTCCTTAAAAATAAAAGGCAATTTCATGATCACAAAGAGGCCACTTTTTTTAATTTATTGACAACTCAATCACTACATACATTCAGTATTGCACAACTTATAAGTGGGTTGACAATTATATTAATACAAACTCATGAGCATAAAGCTACTGCTATAGGTTTTGGTGCACTTTGTGACAAGTACTTTAGTAAATATGACAAATATCAAGAACTCAGCTACTTCAATTCATAAGACTCGGCTTTCAAAAAAAGCAAATGGCATCTCATAAAAACACTTAATATCTCAAACCCAGGAAAATAAAGAATTAAATTACAAAAGGAACACTGTTAAAAAGAAAAATTGGTGATAAAAATGTTAGGTTAAAATATTAGATTAGACTTAGGATCCAGGAAGTGTACGTACACTGGGAACTCTAGGAGACCCGTGTTCTGCTTCGCAAACACTACTTCATTCCGAAAGCGTTTCTGGGTTGCTGCAATGTCTTCCCTGCTGTACAAACCATTGCTTCATACTTCAAAAGCAGCAACATGGACATTCACATAAAGGGGTTTAAAAATAAGATTTTTCTCACTCAAAATAGAAATTACATAGAAATCTTATCAAAATGTCAATCAGCTAGAGAAGCCAGACCACCCATTTACCTTCGCTGCCTGTCTCAGAGCGCCAGGCTGGCGTGTCACCTACACAGAAGGGGACATGTGAATGGTCCCCTGCAGTGTGCGGGTGGACACAGCCCTTCTCCTTCCCTGCGGTTTTGCTTCCTCAGGTATAGAATTGAGAGGGTGCGCTAGATGGTAAGAGACCTTTCAAATAAAAGGGTCTAAAGTCTGAGATCCCACCTTGAGCAGACATTTAGAGTGGCAAAAGAAATGAATGAAAAATGGTGGGCAAAGTATCTTTTGATATTATCACTCAAAACTATTCTGCACTGTGGTTCAAGGATATCTTTGACACTTTCATCTAATGGCTGATGCTGCTAAAAGGTAAGCAAATGAGGCATCTGACAATGAAATTTTGGAAAAAATGTGGAAAGGCCGTGCCAAGTTTGGTTAGAAAAATGCACCACCATGTAAACCCAGTGGTCAGGACTTTCTCTGAATTTCAAGAACCATCAATCTGGCCTGGATATGCACATTGGAGGTTCAACAGAAATCTGAAGAGTGCACACCTATTAAGAATGTGTTTACTGAAATCCTCCCAGGCAGGCACCTTCTGTAAAACTGGTTCTAACAGAAAGGATGCAAGAGAATTAAGAGTAGGGTAGGGTTTTTTTCTTTACAGATCAGAAAAATGGCCCAAAGAAAGTGATGGCTTCTAACATTCTGTCCCCTAAAAAGAAGACACATGTAACTTCTGAAATCTAACACACTGACTTCATTTTCAAAATGCATCAGTTTATTTTCCACATAAGGCAGCCATGCATTATCAACCTTAAGCACATGTGAGTCACTTGATGTCTTCAGTGAGCCAGGGCTTCCTCAGCTGTCCTGGAGCTCATGGCCAGAGCAGTCCCGAGGAGTCAAATGTTAAAGCTTTCTCCACAGCCACATGTTCCTTTGATGTTGGGGTTATTGAACACAAACTCACTGGATAATTTGTCCTCAACATAGTCCATTTCTGTCCCCAGAAGTGTTAGCTGTGCTTTCTTTTCGATGAACACTCTGACTCCTTGAAGAGNCCCAGAAGTGTTAGCTGTGCTTTCTTTTCGATGAACACTCTGACTCCTTGGGAAGAANCAGAAGTGTTAGCTGTGCTTTCTTTTCGATGAACACTCTGACTCCTTGAAGAGGAAAACACATGTCATACTAAGCCTGTGAGACACCAGAACCTGCCAGTCACAGCACGAGTGAGCTTTAAATAGTAACCATTGACAAAACCAAACAGGAAGTTTCTGAATCTGTCCCATTATTTCTTTTAAGGGATTCAGTGCTCAGTTTCCTGTTGCTTTTTTACACAATAATCTATGTCAAAAACAATTATATTAGGTCAGAAAGTTGGACACAAGCAAATTCCATGACAATTATATGTAAAACTAGAATCTGCCTTTCACTATATGTCACCCATTTTTCTTATTTGCAACATAAAGAAAATGTGTATATTCTCAGTGAGAGTTTTGTAAAGATGGAGTCGATACATTTATGATAACCCTGAAATGCCATGTGTATACAGGACACACTGCCATCCACGCCAGAGACACATTGAGGGACTGTGGTACAGTGGGCTGGTTTAAGATGACACAACAGTTCTGTTCCTCTGTGTACAGGCTGGAAAACTGGTAATAATATAACCCCATAGTTACGTAGGCAGAAGTTAGCATCTTCATAAATACAATTGGTTTAAGAAAGCTCTTCCTTATAAGAAATTGAGTCATTACTTAAATATAAACTAAACATATTTATTAGATTTCCTCTTCATTAAGATGAAAAATTTAAGGTTTACATTTATGTATTGATTTTAAAAATAAAATATTAACAAATATCTTTCTTGGATAGTGACTTCACTTTAGTAAAATGAACTCACACTAGGAACCCAGGAAAGCTAGCCAACAGCACACCTCCAATGCACAAAGCCACCACTGCAAAACCCATGTACACTCAAGTCCCCCCTCAAAGTTGTAGCACTATTTATTGTCTTAAATAGGTTTAATCAGATTATTGCATAGGGCCAGGCAGTGAGGGCAAATATAATTAAAGAACTGAAAATTTTAATTTGGAAATTAAAATCGAAACTATAGAGTTCTCAAAAGCATGATATAAAACTGCTACTTTACACAAAAGTAGTTGGTTTATTCTGAAGTTTTATCATCTTAAAAACTTTGCACACACTGATAACTTCTTATAATTGAAACAAATAAACTAGTTTATCCAGTAATTTACCAGAGCACACAGCCTCTGGAATAAATCTGATTGGGTTCAAATGTTTACTAGGCCACTAACTAGCTCTGTGACCTTATGCAAATTATTTAACCTCTCCATGCTTGTTTCTCGTATCTGCAAAATGGGGACAATATGGCACCATTCTCATTTGGTTGCTGTGTATAAATCAGTTAATATATGAAAGTCTCTCAAACCATGCCCACCTCATAGTTAGCACCACATATGCCATTCCTACTATTATTATTACTCTTCATGCTATATAACGCTAAACATTTTAGGCAAAACAAAGTACCCAGAAAAAGTTTAATACTCACCATCTTGAACAACTTCTTCATCAGAATCTCCTTTTGTCTTCGTATATTCTAGAGTATAAGAAAGGCCATTACAACCCCTGGTTCGGACACCAACTTTCACACCTACCTGAAAAATAATTGTAAATATAAACTTAGTTTTAACATAGTATAGGTTAAACAATCATATTAATAAAAGTCCTGGCTATATGATGATATTATTAATTTCTTCCTAAGTTTAAAAACATATATTAAATTCTTGGCTATAATGTAGCCCTTTAGCAAGTGTAAATGGAAGGAAACAAGTGCTTTAAAAATGTACCTATTGTACAAACATCATTATGACACTACAGGGTGTCCTGAAAAGAATAAAAACCAATTATATACAAAGAAAACAATACGGGGGGGAGCCCTCAAACTATAGTCACTATCATCCTAAAAACACAGCTTATATGTTTTTTCTTATTTTCTTTCAGCCTTTGTCATATATATAATTTAAACATAGTTTTTATTATAGGAGAAACATTTTTCTCTGCTTTGTTTTTTTCACTTAAGACATTATCTTTCCATATAATTGCAAGTAATACCTATATAATATTCCACTATACTAATGCTTGTTTATTACTTAACCAAATACTAGTCATTTAGGCTGGGGATAACATTTTTAAGGAGTTTTAATTCAAAAAATGAATCATCGCTTTTTTTTTTTTTTTAAAAAGGAAAAGTATCTGATGGCAGAGAGGACAACCTAAAAAAATGAACTTGCTTGAAAGCATTTTTGCTCCACCTCATCATGTGAGGCGTTCTCAGGAAGTTTTCCTGTGGTTAGGTTTGCAAAGGTTAACAGGCCTGGCAATCTTGCTGCCTCTACACAGGGCCTTTTAGGGCAGACCTGTGTGAACATTCCCAAATACCAGGAAGCAAAAGACTGACACCAACACGGATGTATGAAATGTAAAAAGTGACCAAACAGCACTTTTAAGATACCAATGTCTACCTTAATGTAATTCTCTAACAATGTCTACTGAATTTCTATTCTTGGATCCTATCTGCTTTATAAAAAGTATTATTTCACCAAGAAGATCCTGATTCTCTGAAAAGCAGCAACATGTGCTTGCTTTAGGAAAGCAATCATGAGGTGGGAAGACACTGGTGAAGAGTGAGAATGTTAAGCTGTCTGGGGTTCTCATGAGCTGAAGTATTCGTGGTAGTCTCTTCTGTCGTTAAACAACAGCAAGGAGACAGAATTATGGTTTTACTTACTTTCAGAGTGACAGCTCAGAGAGCCTATGAGGGAGTTTAACACATTCAGTATGATAAATATGCAATGAATTGCCCAGCTGTAATTCTGGAGCTCAAGTCGTAAGTATTTAACTTAGTTTTTATCTTTGTAAACAGGAAGACTCAAGCAAGCAGGAAGTCCAACTATCAGAATGGATCTAGACACTTAAGGAGTCTGTGAAAGTACAGCTTTAGGTAACTGGAATCTGGAAAAGGGATTGCTTGTGCAGTGATACCTGATGAAGTGTTTGCTCAACCCTTTTCATGTCAACACAAACATACATCCCTCAAATCTACACAGCTAAATTTTGTTTCATTTGGTCAATTTCTACTCCAGTCATTAGTGTATACAAATGGAGTTGTAATGGTGACATACTTTAGCATTTAATAATTCTCAGGAGGAAGGTGCTAGAACTCTCACTGTAGTGGGATGTTGTACAACGGAACCTAGAAACCACTCTGTAGTCTAATCACTAAATGTTAATAGTCTTGGAAGTAATTTATAGTATTCCGTAGGCAATTGGCAATGCACTAAGATTAGGGTGATGTGCACACCCCTTACTCATCACTCCCACATCTAGGTAGATGTACTAAGCTATGCTTACAGGCCTAGAACAATGGGCCTAGCACACTACAGACACTAAATATTTGTTGAATGATGCTTGTGGCAACACTGAATGAAAACAACCCAAAAGACATTAATATGGGGGACTGGTTAAATAAATCAAACTTGTTCAATGGTACGTACTATTATATGCAGCCATGAAAAAGTATGAGGTGGATCTTTATGTAATGATATGAAAAGATCTTCAAGCTATTTTATTACAGGCAAAAAGCAAAGTGTAACCACAGCATGTATGGCATGCTCTCATCTAAGCACACACAAGCTTAACAAGCAGAGTTGAGGTCAGTGGGAACCTCAGGGAAATAAATATTTTTGGTTGTCACAACTAATGAGTGAAGCAGAGTCACTGGAAGAGGCCAGAGATGACACTAAACATCCTGTAATCCACTCCCAACAAAGAATTACACAGCACAAAACATCAACAGTGCTGAGGATGAGAAACCCTGGTCTAGGTAAATAAAATGTACAGATTATCTTTGAAAGGATACTAAGAAGTTGCCTCCTGAAAGGGAGAATGACGACAGTGTGTGGGTAGGACAGTGACTTCCTTTTCAGAGTATTCTGTTGTATTCTGTGAATTTAGGGAGCTTCTGAGATCTTGCTCCCTGGCATATGTTGTCAGTATGGCTCAAATAAACTTTTACAAAAATTAAAAAAAATCATAAGCATAATTTACTTTACTTTTTTTTTTTACTAAGCACTTGACTGGTTTTACTTACATGTTCAGGCTTATCTTTAAGAAGCTGTTTTATCTTGTTTACTGCTGAAGGTGTCTGAAAAAGAAAATGTTATTACAAATATATGAACTCAATTAAAACCATTCTCTTTATTTTTATTTACTTATTTTCCTCACCTGAGGATATGCTTTCACTGATTTTCAGAGAGAGAGAGTGGACAAACATCGAGTGGTTGCCTCCAATATGTGCCCCGACCAAAGACTGAACCTGTAACCTATGTATGTGCCCTGACTGGGAATCGAACTTACAACCTTTTGGAGTATGGGACAATGTTCCAACTGAGCCACCCGGGGAGGGCTTAATCATACTACTTATTTTTAAAATATCTTCTAGCAACAGCCTTTTCATCTTGCTTCCCCTGGTAAAGGTCCTTTCCCTTTCATAATCTCTATAGTACTATCTACTTAAATCACAAATGTAATCCTTTTGGGCAGCATTTATTTTGTGCTCCTACTACTGTAGCCCAGCAATAAGCACATTGTCTGACACACAGAAGGTGCTCAATAAGCCAATGAATGAATCAATTAACTGGAAAAGCCACCATTCAGGCAATTTTCCTGCTATTAACCCTATTGCTCAGTTTGCTTACTGAAAATCTATTTCAATCCATCAAAATGCTTACATAGCTAGATAAAAGAGTGCTACCACATCAAATAACCCAGAGTGTGCCTCTTGTCCCAGCCCCACCAAATGTTCAGATTCTGAAGCTGGCGTAAATCAGTACTTCAGGGTATCTAAGCTCATCAACAATAGAAGGAAAACCAGGGAGGAGTTTTTGGGGAGAATGCTTTTGACCTAGCCCAGCTGTCCTCAAAACAAGAAAGACATCACAACATACTGCGTATGTATAGGTCAGCACCACCAACCCCAACTTTTTTGAGAAGGAAGCTCTTAGGGACAAAGTCTGTTCCAGGTCCACCTCCTAGCTGTGTTCCAGCTGGCTTAAATGAGTATAATAGTCCCTCTTCCTCAGAATTCATGAAGAGTATTTAGAATAGTGCCAAATATAAGGCAGCTGTAGCTACAACGAAGAAATAGTGTCCTTCCTACTTTGTTAGCTCCTGTAGCTGGCAATGCTGTACTGGTCCTCCAGTTTTTTTGTACTGGCATTTTCTTGGGTTGTGAAATCCCAGAGTGGACATCATGGCCTATGACTGGGTAATAACTGGAGCAGGAACTCAAGCCTGTGCCGAGGGAGCAGACCCAAGGGATGGCCCCAGAGCACGCTCTTCTGCTTTGCCTCCCGGGGGGGGCTCAGCTGGGTGAGGACGGTGAAGCAAAGTCTGAACCCAAATCAGAAAGGTCACGAGACCAATTCAGAAGGTCGTGACTAGCCTTTTTAAAAACCAGAAAATAAACACAAAAGAGAAAAGATGCATCGCATGTGATAAAGAATATGTAGTGAAACTCTGATTTCAGTTATTAATATACGGTGAGTGTGTATCTACCTTATCGTGTGTCACTGTAAAAAAAAAACTAAATCACTACCAGCGTCCACATATCAATATGTGTCATTGTAAAAAAAAAAAAAAAAATTAAATGAAGGCCTTTTTTTATGCTTTTATCAGAACAGGAGGCAAGCAGCCCAACAAGACATGGAACAGTATGCAGGGGGAGGGAGAAAGAAATGCTGAAGAGAATAACTACGGCTTTTATTTTATTGGGAAACCATAGCATATCAACCTCAAATACAGAAAAATAGTGAAAAAAAATTTTAAAGTGCTCATTTGCCCGTCCAAATGACCATCAATAAAAACTAACCTTGCACCATTTTCATGGTCATACTTCGCACATGAGCCCTGAAGAGATTAATCGAATTATTGCCAAAAAACTAAAGATATCTGACAAGTCACACAAAAAAGGCACAGCCATGGGAAAATATTCCTTGGAAGTACAACCCAAGGCGTAGCCTTGGTTAAAGCTGGCGGGTCAAAGGCATAGAGGGTGCACCACTGCAGGAGGTAAACAAGGGGACCTGCACACTAAGTTGTCAACAAGCCCCAAGGGTTTTTGTCTCCAAGTGATTTTCTAAGTGATCTAACTTAGTTTTACAAAATAATATACTTTCTTCCTTTCTCAACTCTTAGTAAAAAACAGGAACGCAGGCATGTCTTAATTTACCTGTGTGAGGCAAAAACCAAATATACTCCATTGGGAGGGAGGAGTGCTACTAATGTTGCATGACCCAGTTGAGTACTCATTTAAAGGGAAAGATATGGTTCTTATAACTTTCCAAGTGATGAGCCTGATTTTCAGAACAAGTCAGAATGACTAAACAGGGAACATTTGGGACTAAAAGAAAACTTCTAGGCAGAAGGTAAGGTGCCCACTTTGCTCTAAATCTATTTGCATACTCCAGCAACTTTGCACTTAAGTAAAATCAACCTGGGAAACAGTATAAAAACCTCAGCTAAACATGCTGCAAGCCTAGCAGCCTTCCCATTTCACTGCATTTCCCCAAACAACTAAGAAACTATATCTTTCCAAGAAATTTATGTATAATTAATGGCTAAGTTACCTGAGATTTGGCCAGTGAATTAAAACTTAAGAGATTCTTAAGTGTGGGGGGTGGGGGATTGGGGGACATCTGTAATACTCTCAACAATAAAAAAGAAGAAAAAAAAAAACGTAAGAAATTCTTAAAACTCAATGAAATGGTTTTTAATTTACTCATATGTGTATCACAGAACAAGACATTCTTTCAAATGAAGGAACATCTTTGAGTGAGACAGTTCAGCCTTTTAGAAAAGGATTACTCAGTTTGTTTTTTGTGCTGAAATTATGGGAAAGGGCAATGTAGATTATGTCTTTTTCACCTACTTTATAGCAACATACTTTTATCCAATGCCATAGGGTTTCTATTCTTGTAGCAGAAACTTTAAATCCTCAATACTGTGTTTCCTTAAGTAATTACCCAGGCAATTTTCATTTTTTGCTGCTTAAGAAAATAAAATTAATTTTTATTAACTCCATGATTATGTATACTTAAACATGTACCAACAACTACGACCTATTTTAATTTCACTATAAATCTAGCATTTTAAGGTTTAAAAGATGGTAGATAAGCAGCACCCAATGAACAAATTATAGTCTGTTTTGTTTCTTTAACAGCAATGGCTGGCATTATGTGCTGCTTCCCTTTTGTCTTTTCCTAATTCTTTGTGTGTGTAATCCATGAATATATATAAATGATTTTGTAGCCTACAGTTTAAAAGTTTAACATGTTTCTAAATTGCCTACATGGACAAACCTTACGGTTTGGTCACTGATCCAAAGGCTAGTCCTTTAATGAATTAACAGCTCCTTATTGAACACCAATGCATTTAACATCTATTGTTTCCCAGCCCTTCTCAACCAGGTGCCACCAGAAAGTTAAGCCCTAAAGCATCCACTGCACATAATGAATTAACTTCTCTCCTGTGCATCAAGAATGGTGCTGGTTATGTACCATAATTCTCTCACAGCTTTAGTTGAGCTTTATGCACAGCCTGTGGGTATCCCTAATCCTAAATTACGGTTGCACTAATTCTGATTTACACAAACTTGGAAATAAAGGCCTCTGCCAGAAGGATAGTGTTAACTCTTCAGGTTCTTTAGTCATATTTTACCTGGTTCCTACAAGTTCAATTCCATTTGTCAATTCCTGGGTATGTAGGAAAGTAAGGAGAGGGGGAATGTCATCCACTCTAGATGTTCTCTGCAGGTGTCCAAGGGTACTCATTTTAATGTGGTGGGTTGAAGTGTTAAAGCATTTAATTAAGGAACTATCTCTGGTTTGCATAAAAGTGTCATGGACAGTGTGTCACCAGTCTTTTAAGTCTTTCTCTCCAGCAAATCATCAATCCTCTCCCGGATGAACATTACTTAATGCAGATAATTTGGTGCTGACAACATGGAATCATGATTACATTTCATCAACCCCTTTTCCTAGCCTCTCACTGAGGTGACAGACTGCACAGGTACAACATTTCTCAAAGGCTGCAACATGTCAAATTCCTGATGTCAAAATTTATATATCTAGGTAACACTGAGCTCCTTACTCATTTCACTGAATTATCTCTAGTTTCGTTTGCTCTCTTCTGTCTCCAAGCTTTACTCTTTGATGACTTCACTCCTTTTACATTTCACACAACACGTAGGAGTTAAAAATGTTTGCACAAACACTTGGAAACTAAGCGCAAAGGGTAAGACATGCATGTCACAGTGTCTTAAGAATAGGAAACACATGCTAGGATAAAAATGACTGCAAACCTGTCACTCTACACTGTTGGTAGAAGGCAGCACTGACATGCTTTTTCTCTGGCACCAGCTTCTATGAAGATCACAGAGAAAAGAACTCCTAAAGTCAGCCAGACAGTTAAGTAGGATGAGTTCAGATAGTAGACCCTTGCAAGTTAATTAAAATAGTTGATCAAAGGCAACATAGAGCCCTTTTGAACTGAGAATTGATAATGATAAAGCAGTGCTGGTAACAGAACTAGCTTGGTAAGTTCTAACACAAGGAGTTGAAGTGTGGAAAGACAGCCCAGGTCTGAGAATGTGGGCAGTGTTATTATTCCTTGTAATTCCTAAAAGTCACAAAGGCCTGGCTCATGATTGTGTCCCCAGGGAGTGGGAACTGTATAACATTTATTTCTTAACCAGAAACACAGTAGGTGTTAAATGTCTGTGGAATGGAGAAGGGGATGACTCAGGAATTTTAAAGAAGCAGTAATATGTCAAATACTGGAGGAAAAAAAAAGGCAAAAAAGTGTCTGTGCGCTACCTGGCTCTACCATTACTAGTGGTAGAATTCATTTGAATTCAGAATAATTTTTACTGAGATTAAAAGTCATGCCCTTCAGTTCTTGTGATTTCAAGACTTTAGAAAATCCAAATAATCAATGTTGTATTGTTATAGCATAGTAAAAGCTAGGAAATTCCAGGACAAGCTGAATAGGGAGGCTGAGACAGATTGTTAAACCCAAGTTTGAAGCCACCTAGTAAATCCTATCTTTCGGAACTAAACCAAGGCTACTCAAGAGTAAATGGTCTGCATTTCTCCTCCCCAGCCAGAGGGTGGATAGTTTAAACTTCGCTACTCACGGAGACTGGTAACAGAAATCCAATTGGTGCCATTTGCCAACCACACCCAAGGACAAATGAAGAGAATAAACTTCATTTTGGTGTATTAGCATCAAGCTAAAAGCCCAGGCTTAAAACCCCTGAAAATGAAGGTCCTATGGGGAGCTCTACCCCCCTTCCCCAGGAGAGCACACCAGCACCATCTCCTTCTCCCCTCCCAGGGGACCCCACGAGACTTGCAACCAGGGGAGCAATGGGAAGCGGCAGCTCCTCTGGCACTTACCCCCTGAACCTGTCTCCAAGGCCCCCTTCCTGACTTCCCAGGGAGCCAAAGCAGCCCGGCCTAGGCTCTCCTGTTGCTTCTTCTATGCCCTTCCTTGTTTCACCGTCCTAAGTATATTTTTGCTGCAGCCAATAAATTCTTGCTTTCTTCTCTACACTTTGCCTCTTGATTGAAATCTTTCCCTCAAGAATCGAGGTCTCCTCAACGTGTGTCCCCGGTAACATCATCTTTCAAACATGAAAACAGGCTTGCTGGTACAGAAAGAAGTACTAGAGAATGTGGCCTAAAACATTCACCCCTTGTAAAAAAGAATTCTTCCACCTGATCATGACTTCCTTCTACTTTGCTACAACTAATTTTCTGGATTATGGCATTACAATGACTGGAATCCAGGATTCCATTTAAATCCGGCAATCTATTTTCCTAGTCTCTAGGTGATAAACGCTTGCACTGAGTCTCCTCCTTAATCAAGGAGAGGGGGAGTGTGTGTGCCAAGAACGCTGACCCGATCCTAAGCTTTCCAATGAAATTAATCTTTCCAAACTGCAAATACAAGCGACTGCTTAATGGATATAGGGTTTTCTTTTGGGATGAAATGTTTTGGAACTAAATAGATGTGCTAGTCGCACAACATTGTGTATGTACTAAATGCCACTGAATTGAACGCTTTAAAATGGTTAATTTTATGCGACCGTTTCCTCGGTCAAACCCAACCAGCCACTGCACAGTACGTCGGGGCCCGGCACGAACGCTAAGTTCTCCGTCCCCGCGTTTGTACTCTGGTGCCCTCGGGGCGAGTCAGACCTTTCACCCAGAACACGCCGTCAACAAACCCAGGGTAGAAATCCGTTTTGTTCTTTGGCACATCTGACCGAGGCCGAGGACGGCTACGCGCAGAGGGCGTTTAAAACCCCTCCGCGGACCCCAACACCAGGAAGCAGCCCTCGACGCCCCGCAGCCTCCGCCTCAGCCGGGGGTGCGCCTCGCTGGGGACGCGCCTGCCAATCCGCGCACGTACACCGTGGTCCGTCCGGCAGCTTCCGACCTCCCCTAGTACTTCAAGGGTACATTCTGGTTTATTCACCAGGTAGGCCCCGCGCCTGGCGCGTTCGACCTCTAAACCTGCGACCTCAAGCACCGCAGCCCCAAGGCCCCCAGAGATCCCGGGCTCCAGGCGGGCCGCCGCGGACGGCCGCAGGTGACGCACGCAAACCGCCGTCCCCCCGCACGCGGCGCGCGCGGCCTGACGGGAAACGTAGTCCCCCGCGCGCCAGCTCCTGCGGAGCAGCCCCTCGCCGATTTATCTTCACGGCCGGGGCGGGCGG